TTTGTTTGGTGTATAACTCTCTTTAAGTATGGCAACGTAAGATGAAATTTTGATCATTTCATCCGCTCATTGCGGCCAACTACCACTAAAAAATATCAGACTCAGAAAACTTATAGTTCATGAGAAAAAGGAAAATTAGTTTTAATCTCTCACGCGAGATAATTATGTGCATAGCTACTCAAGAATAAAAGCCAAAGTATACACATTATATATTACTTGCTTCCATATTGAAGGAAGTTATCAAGAAGCATGTCAATTAATCTTAGATTGTGTCTCACAGGTTAATACATTCATAGAAAAAGGTCACTAATTATATACATTCTCCCATTTGGCTGCATATTTATAAACTTTATGGATGCATAGTGTAAAAACCACATGTAACGGGTGGGACAAGTTGAATGGTCGTATGTTGTATCTTATTTCTTCATCACCTAATACGTTTTATTAAAAAATAAAATATACAAGCACAAAATACACCGTGAAAAGCTCGAAAATTTACATAAGATTGTCTATTTTATAATTGCACTTTTTGTTTTCAAAATGCACAAAATTTTGAGCGACCAAAATTCGACCGTGCGAAAATTTTGCTTTTTTTTGCAAACAATTACAATAAGTTTCACTGTGTAAATTGTAGAGCTTTTCAAGCTGCATCTTTTGGTATTTTTTGGTTTTTTCAATACAACATTTTTCAGTCACTACTTTCACATTGAACATAGTTCCTCATCGAAAAAGAAAAGACTCACTTTTAAGATCTAATACCATCAAAAATTCAACTATCGAATGTACTATCACAGTCATTTGACCTTAAATTTAAACAGTATTTTTAGAAAAACTCTCGTATCTTGGCCAATTTGATAGTAGTATTCAGGAAAATTTATTCGTATTCTCCTCTCCTATAATGCACTAATTACCGTTTTCAAACTCGAACGTTGTTTTCGTCCATTTTTCGCACAGAACGGTACAATAATTTTGCAATTCGCCTATATATAAAGGGTGAGCCAGAAATCCTGACTCAGTTTGAATAATAAATTTTTCTTTAGTAGAACACTCGATTGGAAATTTGTCTCTAGAATGAAAAGATGCAGTAAAAGACGCTCTACAAAATGGCTGTTGATTGACTCCGCTAGCTCATATAGTAAGAAAGTTATAGGCTCAGATATGTGATTCATAAAATAGACAAATTAACCATGAACTTTGTTGGTATGGTAGTCCTTCCAGTGAAAGTCCCGTAACTCCATCAAAAACAAAAGAAATTTCGATTGTGTTTGTTCTGTTTTGATCAGAAATGATCGCTCTTCTATACCTAACCGCAACGTCAAACTTCGATCACGTTTTCTGCTTCTTGTTTGGACATATTGTCGAGACCAGGGATTGTCGATTTTTGAAACTTCATTCTCGAGAGCATCATCTTTTTACAGATCATGAGAAAGAATGCATTCGAAACTACCAAACGCAAACTGAGTTCTCACTTTTACTAAGCTTTTTCACGAAAATAATAGGAGAAGAAAAAGTTTAAGTCGAAAAGAAATACCAAATTTACAAAGTTTTCATTTTTTTCGCCTCGCGTATAATTTGCTTGGTTTTCTTGATTGTAGTTTTGAAATTAAAATTTAGGTATGATTTTGTAGAGAATATCATGATGCTTCTATTAAAAACAAGAATTTGTTCGAGGAGATCTAAGGAACAGGAGTTCAGGCAAAAATACAGAGATCGGGTTCACACCCTAATTTTTCTTTTTTGTGAAGCACTTTTCTAAGCCTATAACTTTCTTACTATATGAGACAGCGGAGTTAATCAAAAGCCATTTTGTAGCGCATGTTTACTGCATCTTTTCATTCTAGAAACAAATTTTCAACGACGTATTGTACTAAACAAAAATTCATTATTGAAATCTAGTCCGGACTTCTGGACCATACTTTATCTGTATAATCGTTCTTGTTATCTGTGAGTTCTCCTTGTTTGTGTATTCTTGCTCTTGTTCTCATTTGAAGTATTATGCTTGAACTAGTTTCATGGTTAGTGTCTTTCATAATAAATCGAACTCACATTCATACAAAACCTACAATTTCTACAATTAATAATAATAATGATAATTAATAAATATTTTCATTTATGTTTAATAAATTTTTACATTGGATAGGTAAATGAGAATTTTATTAAAAGATATTTGTAGGTCTGAAAAAAAAAACAAAGTAAAGAAGAACGAGATGCTTTAATGCATTTAGAATATTTTGATTCCATTGAATGTTTTCCTGAAAGAATTGATCAATTATTGTATGCACTTTATCGAGTATGTCGTACTCTTTGAATGTCAGATATTTCTATTGTTATTGATTTGTTAGCTTTATATGAGAGAAAGAGCTGAACTATCAACACAGTTTAAACATTTCTTTTTGACCATCATAATTAGTTAGAATTTCTATAAAAACAAACGCATTAGGATAAGAATGTTGTAATAGATCATTCATTTCTCTTTTACTTGGCTGTAGGAAAGGTCCATTGTAATACTATTTGAAACAACGTATTTTGAGTATGATACATAAATAAAATATTTTCAAATCAATGTCGAACAGTTCTAAATCTAAGTCTTTATTTTGTCGTCGTCGTTAAAGACATACACTCTAACAGAATGTTGAAATCATTAAAAAAAAAACTTTTTTAAACCTTATAGTTATATAGTATAAAAGTATTCGATTGTAGATTTGTTTCTTTTTATTCTAATAGGAGAGTAGATTTCTTTCAACTGAAACCAATGTTAATGAATGTCATAATTATGTAAATATATTAAATAACATAAAATTTACATTTACTTATAATATGGATGTGACAACGAAAACAAATGACGAAAATCGATGAAGCAGAGAGAAAAATATTGCGAGAGAGCAAAACACAGACAGTAATGTAATACTTCTTTCCTGCACGTCAACAAATGTGTTTGTTGGAAAAAAACAACTTGTCATTTATTTTTGATAATATATAGGTGAGAGAGATGAAATACTTATTAATAAGTTTTCTTTTTATTATTGTTAATCAATGCCATCTAGAGTTCGAAATTGGATATGGAGTTTTGTTTTTAAAATGACTACCAATCATATTCAAAAAATGTATGTTGTAAAACAAATTTTCTCATTAAGGCGGCTGACTGCACGAAATGCAGTCGCCGACCTATTGCTTTTCACTCGGTTAGTTGCCATGACAAATTCTTCTTCTTCTTCTTCTTTACACATGAGTCACGATTTCAGTCAGCCACTCGTTTTCAGCACCTAAGCATCATTTCAAATTGGGAAAAAGTGTGTCGAGATCGCGAGAATGTGACGAGTGCACATCTGAAATCCGTTTTTCAAAATTCGGCTCCATGCAGGAGCTGTAAAAATTCGAAAAAATGATAATTAACAGCTGATAGTTTCCTGATATGGTCATATATGAGTCAACATTCGAATGACCATTGATATCTAAGATCTTTTGTGCATATGCAGTTTAATTATCGTTTTGCACAACTTAAATTTATTCATGAAAGAGTCTCGAACGTTTAGAAAAATCTTTACATGGCTTATACAGATAAAATATGAAGAGTGGTAATAAACAGCTTAGAACTTCCTTATATGGGCATATATGATTCAGATTCATTATTTCTCACTTATTAGCTGAGTGAAGATAGCTGAACGCGACTGCGAGCCTTAAGTTTAGAATTAGCAGATGTCGTGTAGAATTAAATTCAAAGATCGCTGGGCATTGCGCAGTCAGCCGCCTTTTTCTTCTCGAGCGAAGCTCGAGTGGTAGTCTAGTCTCTAATGTTTTTAATGAATAATATATCGACAATAACGGTATCAATTAAATTTTATTGCTACTCTTTCTTATACTAAATATTCTTTTAGCTGATATATTCAAATAATGATTTCGCTAGAATACTAACTTTCGGATATGTTAAAGCCTTTTTTTTCCATTAGTTTAATCAAGAGTTTTGTTTACTGATGTCGAAATTTTTCGAAGTATATTTGTTAGAAATTTCAATCTTATATGAAATTATTTTGTAGATTAAATTTGTAAATATAATATATTTTTTTTTAAAGAATTTATTTTCAACATATATTATTATCCCTGTTAATATGGCTTCTAATCGGAATTTTCATCGGTCAATTATAAGCTCAGTAGAAAATGATCAATCTTCATACAATCGAAATCAAAATTCTAATAGAGTATATTTTATTTGTTTTTCTTACGTATTGACTTTTTTCCTTTTCTTGTGACAAACACGTGTTGTTTGTTGTTTTTCTTTTTTAATGTAACTAAAGCAATATATGTAGATAAAAGACAGAAGAAAGAGAACGAGAAAAGCATCGAAAAATTTATTTGGATTGTGAATCATTTGTGTACATTTACTATAATTAGGTAGTTGGAAGCTTTTTTTGTATTTTGAAATATATTACAATACAGAGACCGAAACGAACTGAACATTTCTTGTTCGAATTCGGTTTGATTGAACTTTGAAAAAGTCAGTTCGGGTTCGGTTCGGATCGACAAAAAATAGTTAAAAAAGCTGTATATTATTATTCTAGCAGCAGACAATTGCTTAATTTTAAGTTCCCTTTAACTAGTGACCCGTTTGAGAGAAGTGGAGGTATTTAGTTTGAGTATGCAAGGCGATTTTTCAAAACTGAGAACTGCTACAGATCCGAACCGAACCGAGGTTGTCCGGTTCGGGTTCAGTTCGGTTCGTTTTCGATCTCTTTTACAATATAATGGGAGATAATAACTGATTATTGTCACCTAGAACACGTGTTATTATTGAACTTCAAAAAATGTTTACATTGAAACAATTTGATCGAATGTTTGTAAAATTTTAAAAAAATTTCCATTAAGAGACTCATCAAAAATAATGTTATCGTAAAAAGGATATATTAAATATGTTTTGACAATTGATAAAATATACTATTCTAGAAAAAAACGCCTAAGAAGATTTTGTATAGCCTTCATGTTCCGACCGTCTATTGGAATATCATATGTGTTGGGTATTTCGATCAAATGTTGCACAATTTGTTTCAAAAGGTCGACATATCAATCAGATTACTTTTATGAGACTCAAGGTTAGTAGAATGAACGTGGTTGCTGCAAGTTGATACCCAAAAAAGCTTTATGTGATTTATTATTTAACTGAAATGAAGGTCTTACGAAAAGCATCAACACAAACGGATTAAATTTCTAATTTCAATTCTGCATCTATAGAAACTTGTCATAAGATCCTTATAGCAACGTAATACTAGATCGCATAACTCTTTGTTGGATATTAACTTTCTAGCAACATGTTCATTTTCCTAATCTCTAGTCTCATAAATGTAATTCGATTGATATATCAAGCTTTTTAAATAGATTGGAGAATATTCGATTAAAATATCAGCATGTGTCTCAACACAATAGATTATTTTCAATGTCTCCGCTTTTCATGAGGTTTTTATTGCTTTAAATGGCTATATGAACATGTATTTAGTATCTCGAAAAAGAAAAATCATTTTGTCCGATTTAATATGATCCATCTATTATATTTCGATCATATAATATTTGGATAAGGAGTTAAACGTGTACTAACAGAATGGAAAAGATGATGCTCTTCGCAGGACTCTGGGCGCTAGAGTTCGTCGCGGTCAAAGTTTTTGGATCTGAACTCTGTTGATTAAACTTCTTCATACCTGAATCCAGACTCAAACCATATTTCTAACAGTTTATATAAGTGTCCTAATCTGCACCTGTTAGTCCTTCTATAGATACAAGATACTTTTTTCGATTATTTCTATTTAGTAACCAGTACATCTCACCTATGGTCTCAGATAATCTTGACAGTTCTCTTATAATAATCAAGTTATAATTAGTTCTTACTTTTAGAGTAGCTTTCCTATCCGACGATCTCTATAGCGACAGACCTTCTGCTTATCGGACAGATGTATTACCGTTATACCCGACAAGTCATTATCTTCATCATGTTATCTCGATGTGCATCACATAGAGATATCTAATCACAGACGCGCAGAGGAAATATTGAGAAAAAAAATGAGATGTTTTCTTGCTTTTTGGTTTATCCTATTTATGGTTCAATGACAACAACATCCAGTAGAATTCGAAATCGAAAATATTAATGAAAAGAATATCAATATATATATATATATATTATGATGAAGAAAATTTTAAGAGAAATTGTTTGTCTCTGTAAATATTTAAAAGACAAGAGAATTGACATGAAAAAAAAGTGATTACATAGTTTTTTAATGTTTTCTATTTATTCTCTAAAGAAAATAATCTATAATCAATTTTAAACTTTTTTCTTTTCTAGTCTTTAGCCAACTCTGCTGATAGATCAAATAAAATCAATGATAAAGAATTAGCTCAACAACAACAACAGGATCATTTTTATGATAAAGATTTAATGGATATTGATCATTCACCATTAGAAACTATTTCGTTCGATTCAAAACGATTAGAAGATATTGATGCTGATGCAGCTTTTGCTTTTCAACTTCAACAACAAGAATATGCAAAACATAATATTTTATCATCTTCTCATTCTTATTTGTCATCTAAACGAGAACTAGAAGATAATGGAAATTCTTTATCTTTTCTTCTTGATACTGATGATCAGCAAATAGCTAATGATAGAATATTAGCAGCACGTTTACAAGAAGAAGAAAAGCGAACTTTTTCGAAATCTTCATCTAATCAAAATAATAATCGTAGTAACAATGATCTTTCATCTTTTTTTTTCAATTATTCGTCTCTGAAGTTGAACATAATTTAGATTTTCGTGGTTCTCGAGATCGTCATAATAGAAATATTCAAAATATCGAAGAAAATTTTCGTTCAGAACATAATGAAGTAAATTCTTATATATTTAATTAAAATTTCTTTTTTCTTATTTATAGTTTATTTCAATTAGGATGAATCAATAAGAAAAAAAGGTTTAACTCAACATCAAATAAATATATTACCAATTGAAAAATTTCGTTCTCCAACAAATAAAAATGATGAAGAAAATAAATGTGGTGTTTGTTGGGATGAATTTGAACTAAATCAAACATTACGTCGATTAACATGTCTTCATTTATATCATAAACAATGTATAGATCCTTGGTTACAAGTAATTTTTTTATTTTTGTTTTTAATTTTATTTAATTTTTTTAAAATTTAGAGAAATAATCAATGTCCAATCTGTCGAGAACCACCAATAAAATAATTAAATATATTTTCTTAATAAGACTTTAAAAAAATCGATTTCTATTCATCAATAAAAATGTGATATGTTGTTCTTTCAAACGATTTCTTAACAATGATAATCAGTTCAATAATGAATTAAAAAGAAATAAAATTTTCATAATTGTTAAACTGACTCTTTAAATACGTCAATTTTATTGAAACGAACTGCTAAAATCTTACAATGGAATGAATACCTCACTCAAAATCGTTTGAAACATATCCTAACCTATTAATAAATATATTCAGAATTTTTTTGTAAATCTAAAGTTAGCTCATTGAGAGAAAGCAAATCTTTGATGGGAAACCAATAAATGACGTTTCTACAGAAATTTTCATGTAGTC